CAAATCGACTAATGTTTCTATGGGGTTATATTGACAGATGCCCAAGTTTATTGTATGACGTCTATGATCTATTTATTTCGATCACCACTTACCGCCATCTATAGGAAAACGGCGGAAGCAAAGTTGTATACCTAATAGTTCATTAATTAGTCATGAAAAGCGTTACGTATTATTATGATCGATGTACTTTTGGACTAATAATAATGAATTAATTATGGCTTTAAGTGGACCGAATTTTTTTCTCACATAAACCATCATATGAGAAAAATATTCGATCCACATGATTAATTTCCTGATATCAATTGTATATTATACAAAAAATATTGTTTAATGGAAATCGAGAAAGGGCAAAAAACGGTCTTATTCCTTTATTTGATAATGGCCTTCTTCCTTTATTGATAAAAACACATTTTTTTAATTTTTATTATGTATATTTTTATGAATTGTTTTTTACTTTTTTGTATTGAATGTATATATTATATAATTATCATGAATCTTATATACCTTCATATATCAGAGCTAAATTTAGTTTTATTATACATATTGATTTTAGGAATCGATTTCTTAGTAATAAGGATCTCAGTTTTCAGATGAACTATTATACATAGAACGATCGAGTGAGAGTTTGGAAGCGATCTGGTCTAGAAGGATTGTGATGCGCGGTGATAAAAGAAATCCATAGAAATTTTTTTGCTGTCGTAGACCACTTCTCTTAAGCCATTCCCACCACTAGTACTATAATATCTTTTAAGAAGATCGCCAATGGATAAAAAGCATTGTTTATGCAGCTAACTATCAATCTTAGCGAATGACCCCTTCCTTATGAATTTTTGACAGTCCATAAGAACTCGGAAGTTCGCCGTCGATACATATAATTTTTTGTATATGTTTAGGTCAATGTACCCCTTATTTTTCCAATTTTTTAGTAAGTTACTAATTTCCGTTGTTATTTTGTTAGTGGGATCTTTATTTATTAAAATGTATGTGTTATTTATTGATTTAAGTATTTGAATTATTTCATTCCTAACCGTTTCGATAAATGATCGATAAAAACTTCAGTTATATCATTCGACGTGATCTCGATGTACAAGAACATTCCGACTGATTTAGTATTAAAGAGTATTGAACGTAGGTGGAACTTGATTGAAAACAAGACTTCGATTTCTTTCCATGAGTTTATTAAAGCAATTATGATTATGATTAACTCTATATTTTTTAAATTCGACAAAAAAATATTTAGACAGATTTTTGGTATGCCAATGGGTTCTCCATTGTCCCTTATATTAACAAATATTGTTCTACAAGACTTAAAACAAGAAATTATTACTACTAATAATATTATCTCGTCTTTTTATTTCTGTTATGTTGATGACATTGTATTAGCGGTGCATAAAGACAAAGTGGAGAAGTTCTGGAATTGTTTAATTCATATCATGAGAGGCTAAGATTCACAGTTGACTTTGGCGATGAAAACGGAATTAATTTTTTAGACGTTAAACTAATGAGACAAGAAGGAAGAATCATCTTCGATATTTATAAAAAAACCTACTAATTCAGGGAGACATTTAAATTATTTTTCGAATCATCCGTTAGTACATAAAAGGGGTGTAATCATCGGGCAATTAGATAGAATTTTGCTTTTATCCCATCCAAAATTTCAGAAAAAAAATATCTGTGACTTAATTCACACTCTGTTAATGAATGGTTATCCTCTTAAATTCATCTTTTCAACAAAAAAAATAGAATTAAAACTTTAGAAAATAGAACGAATTTAGATAAAAATAGTGAGTACAACAATAACGAAAGCGACTCTAATTCTAATTTAAAGAAAAAGTTTTTTATAATACCATATTTAAGTAAAGTATCGGAAAAATTTAAAAAACTATTACATATTCAGGGTTTTAATATCGCTTACAAACTTATAAATAAAATGAATAGATTTATTAAGACTGGAAAAGATCCTTTGCGTAAAGAGGACCATTGTCAAATCTTAATTAGAATACTCTCTTCAGAATAATTCACATATGAAAAATTCTAAGAAAAAATATAAATATTCTGCGTATTTCTGAAATGTATTTCTAATTTGTATAAAAATTCTGAGAAACATTTTTTCCAAGGGATACAATGAATGTCAAATGATGTTCAAAGTTACTTAAATTATTATGATTTGAATGGAATTGAAAGATATATATGGTTATGATTACAAAATGGCTGTTTTACCTCGTACAAAGACAATGGCACTCATAGTAATGGTCATCCTGCCAATGTATAATATATTGTATAATTTAATTTTGTCGAAATTTGCTGTATCGAAGTAGCGAATATTTTCAGTTTTTATAATCTCCCTCTTTCCATTTTTAAAACTAACATATGCATACATTGCAATGTTCAATGTTATTTAATTCTGCCAGTTATTATTATATCGACAGCAAGTTTTACAACGATCGCTACATAACAAATAATTGTTAAGTGAATACAAGCGTTCGAACGAAAATGAACGAAAATATAGAATGAAATTATCTTACATTTTAAATTATTGTACTCTTTTGTAATTTTCACATTTCTTTTATTTCTCGCGTGTACATTTGGTTCCTGGCTTCTGCACGACACTGTTGGCGGCGGGATTTTCTAACTCCGTTTTATCATAATGATTGTCGTTATCGTTAGATATAGCGACAACCAATCAGAGCCGCGCTTTTTTCCAGAATCGTTCTGTCATTGATTGTCACTGTATATAGTTAACTATGCTTTTCTTTTAGAAGACACACTTATTGACATATATAAACATCATTCTATCTTTTTTGGTATTCGTAATGAATAAAAAAAATAGAATGATACTTGTATCAACTGTGTCGTCTAAACTCTCTACAATGAGCCATTATCTAAGTCTTATGCATGGTCTATAATGGACAGTAGCGAATTAAGGAGTAGAAATCAACCAATCATAGTCGAATTAAGGCACTATTACACCCAGTGAGAAATAATCGTCAATTCGATGTCGAATTGACGTCAAATCAACGTCGAATTGTTGATCATTTCTCACTGAGTACAAACGTAGGTATTCGCATCATTTTCAATCCTTTCCCGGTTTCCCCATTCGTTGCTCTGTCCCCACTCTGCCGCAGTAAGGACAGAGCAACGAATGGGAAAACCGAGAAAGAATTGAAAATGGTGGAATGCGAATATCTACATTTATAGTGCCTTAGGCTGCGGTCCACTTGACGCTACAAACATTACACGCATGCAATTCTAACCAATAAAATCCGATTGCATGAATGTAATGATGTAAACATAATAAATGTTTAACACACTTGGTGATATAAATCTATTGAATCGTTTGTTTTGGTTATGGTTATGTCATAAAAGTTTGTTATTATACTGTATTGTGTTGTCTCGTGGAAAGAAGAACTTTGCACAAGCGCC